CAATGCGATACCAGCGGCTAATGGGTTAAGACTTTATTTAGTAAAAGGATTTATTGAAAAAATGCAAACTTAGAAAACGCAGTTTAAAGACTGTAAACTGTTTAAATGGTCAATAAATCAGTTCAAATTTCTTAAAAATTTTATTACTGAATTTCAATGCATATACATAATGTATATATAAAACCTAGTACAATTCAATCGGGTAATATAAACATAAATTGCAAGCTTTTACTTAAAACCTTATCTGGCTAGAAAGACTGAAGAAGAATTACAAAACGCAAGTAGAATTTTTCTTTACCGGTTTCTGTTTTGTAAAACACATTCAGAACAATTTTAATACATGAATTAATTACAATATATTTTCTTAAACATTTATAATCAGTATTAAAACACTTGTAAGTAATGTTAATTTTTTTAAAATTAATTTAGGTATATTTTAATGAATTAAAGAGTTTAATGTTTGTTAAAGCATGATTTTCAGTAATGCTACAGTTTGCAACTTTGATTACTTTCATTACACCATCACTTTCTGTTTGTGTTTTATCACAAATAATTTCAATTTTTAAAGCGTAGCAAAATTGATAATACACATAGAAGTATTTGAGCTGAATACATATATATTTAATAATTATCAAACACTTTTTTTAAAACAAAATATAAACATGCCTAGTATTTTCATGCATTAAACTGCTGAAAAATTATCATTAAATACATAAACAAAATTTAGAAGAAAATTAGAAATTTAGAACTAATTTTTCACAAAGACCAAGAATTGAAATTCATAATTAATAAATTTCAAATAATCCTATAAATGCAACAAAGAATTTAAAAAATGTTTAAACCAAAACTTTACAAGCAAGCAAAACCTCATTAAAAAATTAATGAAATTTAAAGAAAAATGAACATAACAGAAGAGGAATTCAATCAACTTCAATGTCACTTCATTGGTTTGAGGAACATTGAAATCTCTCTTCTATAAAAATCTTTGCTTTTTTGTATCCAGAATTAGCTGATGAACTATTTCAATGTATTTTAATTATAATAGTCCACCCGAAAATTCTGGCTCTTCCCCAAAGCAAGGAAAAAACAAAGTAAATTCTAATTAGAGTCTTGTACTTTAAATAAAGAGAATTCTATTTTATTTAAAGACTTAAAAACGTAAGTGAACTAATAAAATACTCACTGAAGAATTATTTTCACTGAAGAATTATTGAGTGAAAAATTTTGTCAAAATTTTAAACTTTAAACATGTAGCATGTAATCCAAGGAATTTAAAACGTTAGTGAAATTATAAAACATAGTCAGAAAGATCTAATAAAAACTCACAAGAAGTAATTAAAAACTTCAAGCCCTCTCATTAGACACAAATCAAAACTATGAGATTCATTACAGTAGTGAAGTACAAGTTTGCCATTTTGGCTTCATTGGTGAAACTAAAGAACCTTGGTGAAAAAGTAATCGCTCAAAAGACTAAAATTTGAACAAAAGATGGAATTTTGAAACCAAATGAAAAATTTTTAAATATTTCAATAAAAAATATTTATATTTTTAAACAAAGAAAAAGATTACTTTATTAATTAATTGACATTAAGTAATTCTGACTCTTTTAAAACAAAAATGAGAATACAGAATATCATTCAGTAAAAAACTTTATTAAATTTTAAAATAAATTAATCTTAAAAAAAAAAAAAAAAAAAAAAAAAAAAAAAAAAGCTTTGGAAGGTGCCCAATAAGTGGTCAAAAAGTTTTTAATAATTGTTTTGTAGATATGAGTAGAAAAATCCATAAATTTGAATTTTAGATTTTTTAATATTGTTATTTAAAATTACAGAAAAAGGTTGAAAAAAGGAAGTAAAGGAACTATGTTAGAAAAGTAAAAAGTCTTCATGTCATGGGCTTATAATGACGACTTTGAATATACAAGACCCTTATTTAGTAACAGAATAGTAATTAAGAGGGGGGGGAACTTATATATCTTTTAAAACATCCTTCTTTATCCTTTTCTTTTGGAGCTTTCAGATAAAATTTCATACTTTTAAAAAGTATTATAGGGTATTGACTACTCCAAATTTCTTTAATACACTATTAATGAATGAATTTTAAAGGAATTTCATTATCTTTTAAAATTTTAGTGAGAATTAGAATTTCTTCTTTTTGTGTTTCTATTTCAGTGTAAACTTTTTTAATTCTAATGAAAAAAAAAAGTTTTACCTTAACTTTACGTAGTATTTAAATAAATCAGTTTATTGCTGTTTGCTGATAGTTGCAGTCATATTCAGTTACATTTATCTTCTTTTACACTGATTTTTAATAAGTTACTGAAGCAATTAAGAAGTAAAAAAAAAAAAAAAAAAAACACACTAAGGGGGTATGGCATTTAAAGGGCTGTCAAAATTTTTAAAAGCCTTTTAATACTGTTTATTATCATCAAATTATTTCAAATTTTCTCTTTAGAGTAATAAGGGTATTAATGTATTTTTTAGCAAAAATTTAAAAATCGATAATTTCTTCGATTTTGGGGTACCAAGTCCCCTTTGAGACTGGTGGTGAAATTACTTACTTCTATGACCAAATGGACAAGAATTTTAGGATCCTGTGATGCCATGATGAAAACTCTGATAGCATTCTATAGCAATAGTTAACATTGTCAAAAAAGATATGAATAAATGTTTGAAGTCCGCCAACCAGATTCACGTTTGTGACACTATTGCTCGCAGTAGCTTATGCGTTAAGGGATAGAAGATTATGAACCGGTTCTGAAGACAAAGCTGCTTCATATCCTCTTTTCTCCCTTATAAAAGTGGTGGCTATGTGAAAGAGCACTGCATGTGAATGGGGCTTGGTAGGTGTGTAAAGATGAAACAGCGTACAAGATGATTCAGTACTGCTGCAGTTAATAATATTTCTTGGTAAAAGAAACCTTAGCTAATTGGGAAAAAAATCAATTTATGACCCACTTGCTTTTTCTTGAGTATCAACTTTTCCATTTGTTCATTTGTTCCACTGTGTGAGAGGGGAAAAAAAAATCAGAGGTCCTCTTCTTATAATTCAACTGTCACAAATGCAACCTTAACTGGCATTTCTCCAAAACACTTAGAATTGTTCAGAAATAGGTTTTGTTACATGCCAAAGGGGAAGTATCGCATGCAATTTCACTCTTCGCGGGCAAGAGGGAGTTTACTGCTGAGAAAGGGAAAATCCCTGTATTATCGGGTGATTATATCATTAGTTGTCTTTCACGCCTTTGATTCATATTTGCAGAAATAAGTGCTAAGATTCACATTGATTTGCTACTTAGAAACCAAGAATGTTTATATTTTTTCATAAGTTGTGACTGTTATATGAACAGTACAGATTTCAGCGCTTACTTTAAAAAATAAGATTCCTAAAATCAGGGAATTCTATTTTCATAGTGGAAGTATTCTTCTTGTAGTTTTAAAAAAGCATCAACAGGTTTCTACCCCATTTGCATATGATCTGCCCTGATCATAATTCATTTAACAACATTTGCCAATATTATGATCTTTTATACAAGACTATTTTTTTAAAAATAAATTTATCCTTCCCAATAAGTATAATTATGCAAATAGATTTTTAGCACAAAAATGAAAAAGAAATATAATTATTCATTATAGTATATTAATTATAATGATTTAAACAACTAATAATTTATTATAGAATTATTATTATTAATTATTCAGAATTTCGTTTTTTCAGTGTGTAATAAAGTACATAGATTTTAACTCAAAATTAAAAAAATATGTTTAATAATTATTAATTGCAGTAAAGTAAATGTTTATTTTCATAAATTATTATAATCTTATAATAATTATATTATTAGAATGCACTGATAATATGATAAGAATTATAATGAAAAATTTAATAGTTAAATTATGATAGTCATTTTACAATAATTTTTATTTAATGTGCTTTAAAATTATAATATATTATATAACACAATTAAGTTTTCATTCATATTTTAATGAATATTTAAATAAATAAATGCAGAAATTAAACATGTCATCAAGCAGTTAGTTAAAGTGATTATCGGGATATCAACTTAAGTTATTTAAAAGTAATTTTCTGCGTCCTTAAGCCTGTGCTGTTTGTACATGGATAAAAGGGAAGTGAAAAGGCAAAAAATAAGTGTAAAATAAGACTGAAAGTGAAAAGGTAGGAAATAAGAACAGAAAAATCCCTACTATATGATTCTTGTACATCTTATCACTGTTTTATTCATGAAATTGGAAGATTTCAAGATTTCATGAATAAATTGGTCTGAATGGCACATTCATGTATGTGCTGCTCTTGGTCATGGCTATGGTGGTCAAACTATAGTATATCATTTCAATTATTAAACATTGTGGATTTCAGATTTTGTACTGCATTAGCTTTAGAAGCGGTATTAGCAATTTAAAAGAAAAATGATAAATTTTCTTTGAGAAGTGGTGAAACAATCTTTTCTATTTTTATGTACATATAAAGTTCTCATTTTATATTCTCACTAAATTATTTTTAAATCAATAGAAAATTAAATGCAAAAATGGCACACTGTACAGCATTTAAAAAATCAACAGTATAAGAGATCGCAGGAATATAATTGCTTCTTTTGCCTCTTTATCTGCGTTCCCTGTTTTATTTAAAGTGCTGAAAATTTTGGAATCAAATTCATCAAAATTAAGCTTGGATGCACTATATAGCCTGATTACTCATTCAGTTGATTGGAATATGGTTAATTGTGTTTCTACTGCAACAAATGGCTTTGTATAGAAGAAAGCAACTTAGTTTTCTTATGTATATCACATTTTTAAGTATAAATTTCACACTCTTGTTTAATAGTTTTTGAGTTTTTAAATAAATTTCGTTTGTAAACTTTTGTCTTTGAGACTCTGTTCTAAATTTAAAATTATATTAAATTAAGAATTTTGTTGTATTTTTCCTAGTTTTTTACATTTTAATGATATGTATATACAATGAATAAATTATGCTTATTTGAACAGGTTTTTTGATTCCCTTGCTTATTTCAATAAAGATAGTAAAGAAGGTTTAATACGTGTTATTCGCATGGTGCTGCATTCACGTTACATGCGGTACTCGAGTACTGGTTATGAAGCATTGTTTACTCGCCCTCCTGTTATTTATTATTGTGACTGTTATGGAGTTGGCAAATATGTCTCACACTTGTGCTCACAGGTAAATTTATTATTTGTTTGATAATTTTTAATCTGTATTTCAGCTTTATCTATAGCTTTATTTTTATAATTGTCATTTGTAGTAGAGAAGATCCTTGTTTATTCAAGTGATCAAACTTATTCAACCCATGTTTAATTTAGCTAGTTTTCAGTTCTATAAATAGTCATACAAGGGACCTCAGTGTCCAGTTTTCTTGTTTTTAGAAGGAAAAACAGAATTATGAAAAACTTTTCGCTTGGTTGTAAGAAATAATAAAAAAGGCAAGAGAGATTAGATTATCCAAATGGTTTTGGTTATGTAAAGCTGTTGGTTTCTTAATACTTTTTGTACTGAGATTAAAACTAGGGTTGTGGAGTCGGAATCGGAGTCGGGCAGATTTTGGGGTAAAAAAAGTCGGAGCTGGAGTCACTAAAAACATGTCGACTCCGACTCCAGTTTTTGTTGGACAGTTTGAATTTGACATGAAATTAAAATGAATTGAAAAACAATTAATGACAAGCTGAGTTATTATTTTTATTTATGGACTATATACATTAATAAATACAGTACAAAGTCTGTAATCCGGACTCGTCGGGACTCCGGCAATTCCGGATTAGGAATTTTTCCGGAGTATAGATTATCAATTTAAATCTGGTAAGATGGCATGTAGAAATCATACAATTAAAAATATGAAACTGTAATTTATGAATTAAAGAGCAATTATGATCTAAAGGGTATAAAATTTTACAAAAAAAAAAAGAAGCTTAATATTTATTCGTTTACTTTATTAAACATTTCTTTCGATGCGCATGTGTGTAAAGCATATTTTAGGCGCATGCGTTTTGTTTGTGGCTTTGAGTTCCGGATAATGGACGTCTGGATTATGGACTTTGTAGTTATTTTCTATTTTATTGACATATTAATAAATAAATATAAGGGAGGAGGATGGATGTGATATTTGCCATTAGTGATTAAATTGAGTCATTTAGTTACAAATCTCACTGGTAAATATAGGTAAGCAGCAAGAACTCCCAAAATTGATGCCATTCTTAGTAAGTGAGCAAGAAAGGAGCAATTATTGATCAAACAATGTGATAAGGAAGTACATATTTGATGATAAAGAGGTTGCTAGAATTAGGAATTTTGTTAGAAGATGTAGGTAACCCTAATGTTTCACTAACAGAAAGACTGTCGAATGGTTTTGCAAAATTAGAAACTCTTCTTTCTACTCCGTATATAGCTCCCCCCCCAAAAAAAAAAAAAAAAAAACTGCAATCGGAAGAATTGACAGGAGGCAAGAATGGAAAAATGGGATGTTTGTTCTTTCTGAAATGAAGGGTTTATTGCAGGAGGAATAATTTCTTCAAAGAAGAAAAGAGAAACTAGTTTGCTAGACAATGAGATCTTGCTGGCTTTAATATATGTAGATCCGAAACACCGAAGTTTCTTGGATGACAAACAAGTTAAAAAGTCAGAGAAAGCCATCTATGAACTTTCATTAAGAATGAAATTATTCTCAGAACAATTGGAGAATTCGAATCAGGGCAGTCAAACTGCAGACATTGCAATTGAGTCTCTATCATAATCTTCCAGTGATGAATTAGATTTTGAGAAATATTTTTGGATAACATTGAAAAGGCTAAGGAAAAGCAAATGAAAATAAAGAACCAAGAACCTTTAGATATAAAAATGAAAAAATACAAACAAGATTTCTACATGGCTTTTGAAGAACTAGAGAAATATGATCGCGCTTGCAAGATACTTCTTTTAGAACTTATAAAAATCTATCCTGAAAAGTTAAAAGAAGTAACCCTAACAGTAACAGCTCTTCCTCCTACTCAAGTTAGTGTGAAAAGACTGTTCTCAGCCCTCAAGTTTATCAAATCGAATCTGTGGCCCTCCAACAAAGAAGATCTTGCCGAAGTTATACTGTTTCTTAGAAATAACTAATGCCAGTTTTTCCATCATGTGTATATGTTTACACACACACACATATATATATATGAGGGAGTCGAAGTCAGAGTCGGAGTCTTTAAAATTGTCGGAGTCGCTCATTTTCCCTACTGACTTCACAGCCCTGATTAAAACAGAATATCATTTGCAGTGCTGACTTTCAAATATACATCCAAAATTAGAACTTCAAACAGTAGTACAGTGCTAATGACGACATTGAACTTATTGTTAATTAATTATTTTGAAAAGGTGCCTTATAAAAGATTTTAATTTTCTGTTGTTTTTACTTTTGTTTCACCATATATTATGATTCCTAACTAATTATTTAGTTAATCCTCATGTTAATCCATTTGATTAATTAATTTCAAAAACATTTTTTAACCTTACCGTAATTAATAAAAGATGTTTTTAATGCCATATATTCTAATACCATATCAATGGTTCCTAACCTTTTCTCTCTTGCAACCCCTTAATAGGAGTTTCTAACATATAGAATAACTCTTAACTTCCACTTTCAGAACTAAATTCTCTCTCTTAATCCCTTACAGTATTTTTGCAATATATCTTACTGCTGTATTATTTTAATATGATAAAATTAATCGATCACAATGAAAATTGTCACAAAAATATAATGGAACAAAGACTGATTATTATTTATTTAAAATAAATATAGTAATAACACATATTTTAAAGCAAGAAATAGTTATTAATTTACCTCAATTGCTTCGAATACCAGTTTTTGTAAAACAGATGAAAAAGTTAATTGATGAATTTATTCACTGTTGACAAGGTCTAGGCTAATATTAAAGTCCTAAGCATTCTTTGAAATAGTATTATTCCACAGTAAACTACTAAATCTCTAATTACTTTTAAAGTGAATAAAATATATAACTATAATATAATTATATAAATATATAACTTGCTATATTTAAAATAAAAATTAAGACTCGGTCTTGAAAGGTTCAATACATTAGTGCTCTCATTAACATGTATAGGGAAAAAATAGACCATTTTTAATCTCAACTACTGTGAATTAAAAAGATCATCACGAAACTCCTTGTTACTTCAAAAAATTGCATTGTTTGAGAAGAGAATACTGTTAAATATGTTCTCTAAGCATGCATTGAGCAGCATCAAATTTTCAACTTGGTGTGATTTTTACCATTATAATTGATGTAACTTAATATGTAGAACTCTTCAGTTGCATTTTCATCACCTGTGTTAATTGATAATAGATAGGTTTTTAAATTAGGACCTTTATACAGTTTAGTAATTTAATTAGACTTTTATACAACTTCTAAAGTTTATTAACTTTTTTTTTTTTTTTTTTCATTTGGGATGCTTGGTTTCTAAATGATGCATCTATAATGAGGGTTTCATGCTTCCATTTGATAAAAATTCCTTACATATTACACAAAGAGGCTTGAGGCTGTCCTCATCTCATGTAAATGAAAAATCCCTGTTATACATTTATTAGAATAATTTCCATTCTTTTACAAATGACTACTATTTAGAATTTTGATATTGCTAGTCAGTTTTTTTTTCTTACCAGAGTAATAATTGTATCTCAGTCCAGTTGATTCTTAGGAAATGCTTAGACACTAAATCAGAGTTACTATCTATGGTAAGTTTCTGTTCAAAAATCTAGTTTTTGACAATGTATCCATTTTTATTTCAGCAAACGTTTTATTTAGCAGCACACACGTGCACGCACACAACAAAACAAAACACTATTCTCAAATATATTCAACTGTAATATAACTGTAAAGAAAGATACTCAGCTTGTTTGATAATTCACTCAATGCTAAAAATATTATTGGCTGCCAGTTGTTTTATATGACTCAGTATTTAATATGAAAGAGATATTTTGGCTTGTATTTCAGCAATGTAAATGATGTGGATGGCATTAATTACGACTAATTATATTTCTTTTGTACCTGTTTTGGTCAGTGATGATCACACTGAATTTCCTTACAGTTACTTTCCCTTTTATTCAATAATAAATTTAAACTTTCTGTGCATTTGCTTTTCTCTGACTAATATATATTATAATGCTTTGTTGTTTTCTGCCATTACTGTTAATTTTGTCAAGTACTGTGTTACTGAATGCCTCTGTGCAGGCTCCTGACCTAAAGTATAACCAAGCAGGATAATGCCTATACAGTGGAAAGTTATCTACCAGCTAGCTACTGCCACTGCCCAGCGGCAGTTATTTTTTTGGCAAGCAAATACAAATTACAGTAATCAGTATACATAAATGAAACATAGACATCTTTGCACTATTGTGTGATGCGTGACTAAAGCCATATCGTTACACAAGCAAATATAACATTCACATAATTTGCTGCAGCGAAGACTACCTTCAACTGTTCAGAATGAACATCAAAGTAGAGTCTTGTAAAGGTCAAAATATTCATTTGTACAGTCTTTTAAATATAATAAACCAGTTAATATTCATGAAAATATTTAAGAGGTCCAAAAATGCTTTGTAATAAAATTCTCTACAAAACTTTATATAGTCCACACATATTTTTTGCCTATCAAAGTTCACAATTCACAAGATTGTAATTATAATGTAGACATATAAGTCCAATTATATAGTCCTCAAATGAAAGTTCTGAGCCCATCAAGATTCATAATGCAACAATATAAATCTTATAGCCACTTATCATTATATTGATGTGCAAGTCCAATAGAAAAAGCCTATCCTTTGACATCAAAACCAGAGTAGTTTTTAGTTACTTGGCAGGCATGTCACATACAATTAATTCCACATGTCCATTATTCATGTATAAAACATAAATCATCTTAAATAATAGTAGATAATAATCCATTTTTTATTGTTACAGGACACTACCAAAGCAGTCAATGAGTTCACATCCATGTCATAACTATCATTGTCAATATCGTTTAAGTAATGACAATAAAATAATGGATACAGAAAGTCAAAGAAATACATGCAGTCAAGAATAATGGAATTCAAGCAGAAGTAGTTAACAAAGTAACTAAAGAATCTCGGCAAACTTAATCACAAATTACAAATTTAATTACTTAATTGAGGTAAATAT